TTCTTTACGGAGCGGTCACGTGTGTTCCTCGCGGAGCGAAATAAATAATAATAAACGAGACGATACGCGTAATGATACACGACGTATGCCGCTGCGAGAAGGATGCGCGAGCCGTTTTCGGCGAGACGTGTACGAACGGGGCTGTATATAATACGCGATTAATCATTTATATTATTTCTTACGTCGCTTTTACGGCGCCGCCTCGCGCGAAACGGTATCATGAATAAATTTCCCGATATCAGCGCCGCGCGCGCTGTTCAAGTATTAATCCGTATACTCGGGATAATCGGAGCGCCGCGCCGGCTCGTGCGCGCACGCTCTCTCTCTCTCTCTCTCTCTCTCTCTCGCGCTCTCTCTCTCGCTCTCTCGCAGACTCGCGTAAGACGACAATCTCGCAGAAGCGTAGAATTTCGAAGGATTTTACTATTCGAAAAGTACTGCCGACACGGGAATACCTCCGGAGACACGGTGAAGCTATATCCAGCGGGTCTCGGGATGGCCTGTGGTGCCTCGCGCGCATAGCAACTCCAAAGACGTATGTCGGTTTGGGGCAGCGAAGGCCCGCGGAGGCCCGACGCGAAGGGAGTAAAAATTTCACGGAGTGAATAAATCAGGGGACGCCGCGGCAGAGCGGCGCTCTTAGTTTAAGTACATCTGGCACGGCATCCCTCCTCGCCCCCCCCCCTCCCCTCTACGTTCGACTACTCTCTCCGTCTTCCCGCATACTCTATCGCGAATAATGCGAGCGGCAAAGAGAGAGATCTTCTTGTCTCTCGCGTGCTCGCGAGCAGCTTCAGTCCGCGCGGCTTTTCGCGAGTAATAAGGCGGCACTCGGTGCTGCGACGCTTTTTGCGCGCAAAGAACGCGCCCCGAACGTCCCTCTAACCGGATAGTCATTCGCGCGCGCGTCACGTCGTCCCACCTAATGTCCCGCGAGCAATTTCGATTATTCGCCGGATTCACGCGTATTTAAGCCGCGCGTGCGCGCGGATCGACGAGGAAATCGAATTTTTGATTCCCACGTAAATTAATTCAGTCGCGCGCGTGAGAATTGATCAACATTCCAGACGGTGTCAATTATTTATCGGCCGCCGCCGCCGCCGCCGCCTCCTCGGCAAGCCGACGACTTGCTCGCGTACACGCGAGAATTCTATATGTTGCGGAACGGCCGTGCGTAAAATTTGAGCGCGTCCGTTACTCGATCTCGCGTCTGCCGACTTTTCAGGAACGCGGGTCATCCTTTATGTCGAAGAACGGGATTGATCTCTTAAATTGCATCGTGTTTACGGTCTGGCACGATATATATATATATATATATATATATATATTTTGTATATACGTACGTATATAAAGAGATAGGAGGCAAAGTGGGTGGACGAATGAGAGCGAGCGAGAGCGAGTTTGCGTATCCACGAGCAACGTGTGTAGATCGCGACGTGTCAGTGAGAGAGACTCTGGGAGAGGGGACGAGAGGGATGGGGAGAAGGTCATTCGGGAGGATGGCGGCTCATCTTGTAATGGACTCAGAAGACAGGCGAGTCGGCTAATGGAGCCCTGCTCTTCCAGAAAAGCTCTTAGTATCCGCGCCGCGCGCGAGCGTCGATGCTGTCGGGCTGCGTCATTCCAAATCCGCAGTATCCAGCGGTTATTTCCGCGCGCGCAGGTGCATGAGGTGCGGAGGAGCGTCGCCGAATTTACAATATTTCGGATACGAAGTTTGCCACGAGTCCTTCGTACTGAAAAAGAAAAAAAGATACATAAGGTATAGTCAAATCTAAGCACCTGATCGGACATTTCCTGACGTGCGTCTCCTTTTCGCTCGCACGCGTCGTCGAATTCGGGGGAAGCCTGATGTATCGAGAACGATTTCTGTTTACCGAGTCATAAGCCATACGGCCGAGTCATATTTATCACACGCAAATTCAAGCGATGGGTAATCGATACCGCCCCTCCCCCCGCGACGCGAGGGTGCACGGAGGAGGTATCGCGACGCGCGCGCGTGTGTCGCTTCCTTTCAGGTCCGACGCGGAATTTATCGTCGCGCCGCGCGCGGCCTGGTGCGACGCGCGCGCGGGCCCGTCGTTAAATGCTTTTTCGCGAGATAAGGGCATCGCGAGCGCGAGCTCGAGCTCGAGCCCGAGCCCGAGCCCGAGCGCGGTCGACGAGAGAGTGCCGCTTAGTTTAATACACGTAACGCTACTTTCCGTCCGCTTTTTCTATCAAATGCTCCGCACCGAGAGCTCCAACGGGGTTCGAAGTAGTATAAGTCGTGGACAAAGTAGACGGCGTACAGAAAACCTCCATTAAAGTCCGTAGAAGTGATTAGTACGCTCCCTATCCCTCCCTCTCTCTCCCGGCCGCTTCGTCACCCCCGTTCCACTCTTGCCCTTCGTCCTACACACACACACACATATACGTGCACACAGAGACGCGCGCGCGCGCACCCTCGCGATACCCCCGCTATCTACCCTCCACCCCCGTCTTGCCACCCTCTCGCTCGGCCTATCTCACTCACTTGCAATTTCAGGGTTCTCTCGCGTTTCGCTTTCCCCTGAACGCCGGCAGACTTGGGAAAACGCGGCGTCTCGCGGCACTCGTGAGAGAGCACTATTATCAAACGTCGTATAGCGATTTTGGACTTGCGATCGGGGGGGTGGTTGTATCAGGAGGGGTTGCCGGCATGTCGTCCGCTCGCGCGCACGCGCACGCGCACGTTCCAGATGCACGGGATTCATCCGTGGAATCTGCAGTTGATACTTGTCCGACGAAAATTAGAGTGCACATCGTCGTCTGGTTTCTCGCGCGTGGCCGCCATCGTCGATATTCAACGACTCGGTATCTCGGTTAAGAAGCCGTTTTTAATTTGCAACGTTCAATAACTCGGTAATTAAGACCCCAATTAAATTTCTGTTAAAGTGAAGCGCACCTAAGATTAATTGGCAAATGAAGTTTTATTACCTATTTACACTGGCGAAACTCGGGTCCCTCCCCTCCCCTCCCCATCATAACTCTTTAATTTTCAATATTAAACAACTCCCTAACTAAAGCCGGGTTTGAAGATTCGCCGAGAGGAAACGGCGACTTCAAACTTATCTCGCTACTCACTCTTCAGAGCATCCGGTGCAAAGCACTCCCTTCTTCTTTTTTTTTTTTTTTTTTTTCCGCGTTCAGTGTCGTTGGAAAAATTTCCAGTTGCAAACATAAAAGCTATCCGTTGCTTTCTTTGATAATCCGCCGGGAGTGGCGGGGGATAATATAAGCGCAAAGTGCCGGATAAGATGGCGAGAGATAGTGCGAATTTTTTCCTTTTCCTCTATAAAGGATTACTCCCCGCGCGGACCACCCGCGGCTACAACACGCCTTTGACGTCGATAAATCAGCCGATAATTAAAAGAGACCATCGACGCAACGGCGCGGCGCGCGGCGGCGGCGGCGGCGGCGGCGGCGGCAATAAACACGGCTTAATCCATTTCGTCTACTCGGTATATGGGAGCGGGAGAAAAAAAAGGTCGTAGCCTTTCTAATTTAATCTGGCGAATGATTCCGTGATTCTCGAAGCCGACGGCAACCCTTTCATTACTTACGTCCCCACCCTGCGCCGTGCGCCCTCGCGGCTCCTTGCCACCCCCCTCGCGCGACCGCCACCGTGAATCGGCGCAGAACACTAAATCAGCGACCGGTGTAATTTTTGTAATGGGAGGTGTGGCTTCGTAGGGGTAGCAGGACACGTCCGCGTAGTAGGGGTTGCGAGCTCGCGGTGGGGATACGCCATCCCTGCGTCGGCTTGCGTGTAGGTGGGACGGTGGGGTGGAATTCGTAGGGGGTGATTCTAGGGATATCCCGTTGAGCGAGACGCGCCGCGCCGGAGGTTAATCCTCCGTAGCTATTTCGCAACGTTGACTGCGTCGACGAGCGTGATCGTCCCTCAGGACGACCCCATAGCCGAGCATTTGCGTTACTCGTCGATCAAATAGCTCGTCGCTAATAATCGTTCTCGCTCATCGCTCTGTCCCCTCGCCCCCTCCCCCCCCCCTCGAAGTCGCAGAGGCTATGAAAGAGACCGACGTACGACGAGTCGCGAGCGAGGCTACCTGCTCAAAAAGCGTCTCGGTATTGACGATCTTACGATACGAGAGCCGGACGAGATAATCTTTGTTAATTGGAAAAATGACAGAGATTAAATAGCCCGGGTGGGATGAAGCTGGGCGCGGGGCCTGGGGGAGGGGGGGGGAGGGAGCGAGTGCCACGCTCATTACGAATTCATTGCGATAAATCGCCGGTAATTGAATTCCCCCGGTCGATCCTAATTACGACCGCTGCCGCCGCCGCCGCCGCGCCTGGCCTTATTGATTCATAGACAAAGTCAGCTCTCTTACCCTCCGTGGCACCTCGACAGGCGCGAAATTAAAAAGAAACGAACACACACCGGCGCGCGCGGGCTATAATCGATATCTCTTGCCCCGCGCCCGCCGTCGTCTTTCGCGCGCGGCGGTCGTAGCAGCGCGCTTTCATCCCTCGCGCTTCGCTCCTCCCGCCCCGCGCGCGCGCTAGCTCGCCCGCTCGCGCTCCGTCGCCGTTGGAAATCGAGAGCTCATAACTCGCGTTCTAAACGCGCCGCCTAATCGACTGGAGTGCGGCTCGCGCTATCCCGAATCGGGCGCGCGCGGGGGGTACATCCGGCGTGGTGCCGGCGCGCGGGGGCTAAATTGTGCGGTAGAGCGCGGATGGTTGAAGGATCGACGCGCGTGAGCGAGCGAGCGAGCGAGCCGGAGGGTGGTGAGCGGAAGAAAAGAGAAAACGAGCGCGAGCGGGGTAGGAGAGAGAGATAGAGAGAGAGAGAGAGAGAGACAGAGAGAGAGAGAGAGAGAGAGAGAGAGAGAGACTGAGAGAGAGAGAGAGAGAGAGCGTACGTCTCGCTCGAGGGGTAACTCTCGAGGGATGCACGTTGGTGGTGGCATTCGCAACGTGGTGGGAAAAGCGCGTAGGGGTGGCGCGCGGCGTCGGTGGGGTCGACGAGAGGGTGGCTGGGCAACACTCGTGGTGGGGATTTATCACTCTCGGTGGCGTGCCGTGGCCGCACGCGGCATTCGGCAGTTTACAGCCGACCGCCGAACTGGCGATTTCGCGATACGATTTCGGCGCGACGCAGCGCCACGCTCCGTTCTTCGCGCAGGAGATCGCCTAGGGGTGCGTGCACGTGCGCGGGCGCGCACTCGAGCGTTCGTCGAGGGGCGCCGCAAAGGGACGTTTGTTGTTTGTCGTTGTTGTGAAACACTCGTGACGATTGACGCGGTTTGACGGTAGACTGGCGGATAGATAGATAGGTAGATAGATAGATAGACAGATCGATCGATCGATCGACCGACCGATCGTTTGAACTGGTCCTCGATGGAGAGAGACACCCGGGCACGCACGGGGGTTAGTGGCTGTTTCGTGCGTCTTGTGCAGTGCCACGTGAGGCGGAGCGCTTAAACGGAGGACGGTGGAGACTGCCGCTCACGGAACCTTCGCCGTTTGCCAGTGATTGTTGCCAGGTAAATGCGATCGGAGATCGCGATTAGATTAACCCGCGCCCGCGCCCGCGAGACGGACGGGAGGGAAATAGAATGAGACTTTGACGAGAACTTTAGATCACATCGAGATTTGATTAGCTCGCGCTTAAGGATCCGAGTGTAATTATCCCGTTCTCAACTTGGATAGATCGCGTTTACCGATACACGAGCCGCGCGCGATCTCGTGTAACGTGTAAGTCATATTTGTAAGAAAATATATTTGCGGCGTGTGCACTACATACAGTTGCGCGCGCACACATAGAGGACGGGGTGAGAGGCGCGGAGAAAAGAAAACGCGCTGATAAGACCGGAGCGCGCATAGATGGCGTATAAATGAACGTGCATTCGCCAAAGAAGTCGCGTGAGAATCTCGCGTTAATTATAAACTGTCTTGCTTTTTAGCTTGGCAGATAAGCACGCGCCGGCACGCTCGTGTACAGTCATTCACCCCCTTCGCGCCTCCGCATCTCGCGGTGCGCGCGTCCCATCTCTCATCGACCGACGTCCGTTCCAATTACCGGTGGCGTTTTAAGGCGATTCCGTTGTAGGGCTGCCGTTACCGACGCGGATTAACTGCATCCTTAGAAATGATTCGCATAGCTCCTTTACTCGCCGACTCTTTTGTCCCATCGAGACGTCGTAATGGCGCGCGCGAGATTATCGGCTCGAGCGACTGCGAGGGAACGCGATTAACTGGCACCGATCCTTGGAACGTTTAATTAATCGCCACATTAAGGAGATTACGTAAATATGTCGCGCGTGCGCGACATTCTCGCGGGGAAATTTATGTCTCATGTTTGCGTTGCTTCCTCAAGTTCTATTTATTCGCGCGCGATTGATGTCGGATAGGGAAATAAAGTAGTAACATTTCGACTTTATGATGGAGAAAAGAAGCACGAAAGGGCACGAGATGATATGAGTGGTGCCGTATTTGCCGATGCTACTCTTGTCCCGCGGGGCCACGATTATTATATCCAAAATTGATGAGGGAGTTCCATTCATTTATGATACATCTCTTTATTGAACCGTCTTACGGCGAAGTTCCAGGCGGACGCCGTGAGATAACACGATGCACTATGTATGAATCGTTTTCGAGATATCGTCATCCAATATGCAAGAGCGAGTCGCTTGTAGCGCGTGACAAAGCTTTCACGAAGATTAGCGCTAGGTGCAATCTCGCGAGCGATTCATCGGAATGGCACGTTATTATAGCCTCTCGGAATTTATTTCAAAGTCTACCGTGAGATAAAGATACTATAAATATATCGTTGCTATATTTATATGTATATATGTGTGTGTGTGTGTGTGTGTGTGTGTGTATATATACACGTAAGAAAGGAACTGGTCGAGCTAAGAATCCTAACGATTAAGTTCCATCTTTCGAAGTTGAAAGTCAGAATATGTAAACCCCGTCACATCTCTATTTCTAAAATTAAAAATTCCTCAAATAAACTTCTCAATTAGCCGTTTTTGTTAGAACAAGAAACAGCGAGAAAAGGAGGAGGAGACGCATACAACACGAGCAGAATTTTCTCCTCGTAACACGTGCGCTCCCGCTCTCTCTCTCTCTCTCTCTCTCTCTCTCTCTCTCTCTCGCTCGCTCGCTCGCTCTGTTTGCTTGGCGGAGATTTAATTAGAGAAGCTTAATTAGCGGAATATCGAACGTCGAACATCAAAAGCCTTCGTCGCCGATTAAAAAATAAAAGCACATGGAGAAGGAAAGAAAACGGAAGAGAGAGAGAGAGAGAGAGAGAGAGAGAGAGAGAGAGAGAGAGAGAGAGAGAGGGAGAGAAATTCTAACGGATAAATGCCGCTGAACTGTTTATTAAAGCAGACCGGAAATCGTCATCTTCAATCTTTCTCTTGAGGAGAAATCCGCAGATAAGATACAGATGTACCCTCCTCACGTAGCCACATATCGCGTCTTATTCCCGCACATGTCGTCGGGCGTCCGTTAAAGTCGAAATAATGAAGCTAACTGTCCGTCCGGACGAGTATCCCACCCTGTTCCGCGAAGACTCCGGCTGCTGTCTTCTTCATCAACGACCTCTCCGCTTTCTCCTCTGCCCCCTTCCCCCCCCCCTTCTCCTCCTCTCTCATCTCCTTCTCTTTCTCCTTATTCCCTTCCTGCTCCTTCTGTGCCTCGACGCCCCACCGAGAGAGCGTCTCAACTGTCGGCCACCCGCGTGTACTCGTCCGTTTGAATGCCGATAATTGGCACTAGTTTCAGCCGGCGGCGGGCTCGTTAGCCGGCCGGCCGGCTAAAGAGAATCACTTAATTATTTCGTTTGAAGTTCGCCTCCGATAGGTACAGCTCGTCCGTGAGCGCGCGCGCGCGCGCGGATCCGGCCGGCCGTTGCGGATAAATCGAGAAAACGCGAGAGCGAGCCTTGCGAACGAGCGAGCGAGCGAGCGAGCGAGAGAGAGAGAGAGAGACTTTCAACCGGGCGGTTTGTTTCGCGCCGACAAATTGCCGCGGCTAATTAGCCGCGCGGGCTAAAAGGGGAGGCAGCGTCGACCGTGACGCTTCCATTTTGGATTCTCGCCGCTGTTCCGCCGTTTTATCGTCGCGGTCTCCTCGGCCTCGCCTTGGAGTCGTTAACTTTGTCGTCGCGGCAAGTTTTCTCACGGTCAAGATGAAGCGAGACATCGTCGCTTTTCTCTCAATACGATATATATGTATATATATATATATATATATATAAAATTTAAGTAATAATCCCTTCATCTCTATCCGCGGACACTTTGCAACATTTTTCATGCAAATAAATTCTCCTCTTCCAATTATACGATGCGATTAAAGGACGAGGGTAATACAAATGCTCGCGACGATGCGACTCCAAGTAAATTGCCGGCGCGTTCGAAAAATAGTAGCAATAGAAGCCATCGGCATGCCAAAACGGACCTTTCACGTGGCGGTCGTTGCCCATTTCCCGGACATTATATCGTGCTAGCGGGCCGCTGCTATAATTTAATAACATCGGGGCGTGCGTAATGCCTTTCGACACGAGTCAGCGATAATTCCGCGGCGAATGTCCAATAAAAAGCCACTTTGCCCGATCGAAATATCAAATGTAATCCTCTTAAGTCGGCCGCGCCGTCGAACGTGTATCTCGCGAGCTGACCATCGCGCCCTGTCCTCCCCCGCTTCGCACCCCCTAACCCCTATCGGCCATCAACCGCCCCTCGACTCTATCTCTGTCCGCCTCGGCGAGCTACTAACTTTTGCTTTCCCCTCTCTTCGATATACCCTCTTCTCTCTTTCTCTTTCTCTATTCCGTTTTCGCTCGTCGCTTTCCTCCTCCTCCTCCTCCTCCTCCTCCTCCTCCTCCTCCTCCTCCTCCTCCTCCTCCTCCTCCTCCTCTGCGTCGTCCTGTTCCTTAGGTCGGAGGCGTTGCTTTTACGGCGATTGAAGTTCCTCGTGGGTCCTTGGGCATACCGCCAGGTGGCAGTGCCGCGTCCTTTTGGGCGTCGGCCCCGATGTCCTTCGTCCTGCGAGATTTTTCTTCGAACTGGCAGGAAGGAGAGCAGGCAGAGGCGGCGACGGAGGAAGTATCGTTGTGTACTTAGGATATCGCACGTGTCTTCCCGAAATAGCGACCCCACGCTGCGGTACCGAGTACATCGGAATGGGGAGGATCGGGGAGGGTTCAGATCTGAATCTGATTTTGACCCTGAAATAGTCCCGGGGAATAGGGTCGCATTGCTACGGTGGTCTTAACGTTGCCGTCAAATTGAAAGAAAAGTTTCAGCCCAGACGAGATAGAAGGGCGGGAGGGGGGGGGCGGGGGAGGACTGAGGGATCTATCGATCGACACGGGATTACCGAGTCGCAGCGAATTTCGTCGGCAAATCCGGGGGCGTCGAAACACCACGCGGATGTTCCTGACGCAAATTCCGTAACATTCTTTTATCGATCGTTAAAAGTTTCATTCGGCTACTCTTTCTCTCTATCTCCCTTTCTCTCTTACCGTTTCTCTCTTTTGCACGCGTTCTTTCTCCTTCCCCTCCCTCCCCCCTCTCTCTCTCTCTCTCTCTCTCTCTCTCTCTCTCTCTCTCTCGACTGCTCCTTCAACACAGGAAGCTATTGAACACCTCGTACAATTAGCTCCTCTCATTAAAGAACCATTCGCAGCGGCACCGAATGCCGAGCGACGTTGAATAATTAGCATTCGCTACCGACCGAAATCGATTTGTTAATTAATAAAGCGCGCTAACGTTCGCGATACTAATAATACCGGTCAACAATTGAATAGAGAGCGCGTTCATTAACTCGCCCGCGCGCGCGAGCGAGCGCGCGAGCGAGCGAGCGAGCGAGCGCGCAGTCAGTTAACGCCGGCGCGCCGCCGCCGTGTCGGATCGACCTCGATATCGACTCAAATAATCGAATTTGTTACGGACCCGTGAAAATTCTCTCGGAGCAATCGCCGGCGCATCCTCGCGCAAACGATGTTCTTTGCAAGCGACGACTCGTCGCGGTGACGATGACGACGGAAAAAAGGTCCTTTATCTCATCATTGAACATCTTTATCGCCTCGCGATCCTCTCCCTTTTCTCTCGTTACCGCCCCCGCCCCCTCCCCCTCCGTCCCCTTGCCAGCCAACGGCCGGCTCCGCGCTGGTACCGGCGCTTCGTGCCGCGAATTTTCCTCTCCGTCTTCGTAGAAAGGAAGCCCGGAAGGAAAGTTCCTTCTCCAACTCGTTCGATGCTCCGGCGGGTTACCGGCTATTGGCCAGGATATCTTTCGATTATCAAGACCATCCATACCTACCTACCTACACCGCCTTAGTCGGGGCCGGCTCCATTGTCTTCCCGGCTCTTTCAATTAATGTTTTGATTGATTTCGGACCCTCGCCTGGAGAACGATCCTTCCTCACGATCGTTCCCGCTGTGCCGCAGCTCGCTCACTCGCTCGCTCGCTCGCTCGCTCTTCCCGAGCAATACTCAGGTTGGCCCTCCATAATCGGCATTCCGTGGAAGAC